GAAGCATGTGGGGACAACAGCCTGACTTAGTGAGATGTTGAAAATGTCTGTGAAGACATCAGTGAGTTCCACTGAACAGTCTCTCAGTACACGCCCAGGAATGTTGTCAGGACCCGGAGCTTTGTGTGCGTTGATCCTGCTGAGGGATCTCCTCACGCTGTCTGGGGACAGCGTCATCACCTGGTCGCCGGGAGGAGGTGGAGTCTTCTGTGCAGTGGTGCTGTTTTGTGCCTCAAAGAGAGCGAAGAAGGCGTTCAGCTCGTTCAGCAGGGAGATGTTGCTGTCACAGGTCCGCGGTGGGGGCTTGTAGTCCGTAATGGTCTGTATCCCCTGCCACAGGCTCTGGTGTCTCTGCTGTCGCTGAAATGATGGGCTATCCTCCTGGAGTACTGTCTCTTAGCCTCTCTGATGCTGCGAGATAGGTTGGCCTGCTTAAACATATTCCAGTCAGTGGTGTTAAAACAGTCTTGAAGAGCCTCTGACGACCCTTCCGGCCACACTTGTATTTGTTTGTGAACTGGTTTGGTGACTTTAACAAGCGGTCTGTATGCAGGCATTAGCATGATAGTGATGTGGTCTGAGGCACCGAGGTGGGGGAGGGCCTTGTAAGCTCCTCTCTGGGTGGTGTAAACAAAGTCCAGAGTGTTGTTTCCCCATGTTGGAAAGTCTATGTGTTGGTGTATTTTTGGGAACACACTCTTTAAGTCTGTGTGGTTGAAATCCCTATACGTCAGAATGCTGTTCATGGACTTCAGTTCAGCATTCAACACAATCATCCCTCAACAACTCATTCACAAACTGGTCCAGCTGGGGCTCAACAATTCTCTGTGCAACTGGCTATTGGTCTTCCTGACTAGGAGACCTCAGGCAGTACGGGTCGGCAGTAACACATCCAGCACCATCACACTGAACACTGGGGCCCCCCAAGGATGTGTGCTGAGCCCCCTCCTCTTCACTCTGCTGACCCACGACTGCACACCGTCACACAACTCCAACCTCCTTATCAAGTTTGCGGATGACACGACTGTAGTGGGTCTCATTAGCAACAGAGATGAGACAAACTACAGGAGCGAGGTGAGCTGCCTGGCCGGGTGGTGCAGTGAAAACAATCTCTCTCTGAATGTGGAGAAGACGAAGGAGATTGTTGTTGACTTCAGGAGAGTGCGCACTCAACATGTTCCTCTGACCATCAACGGTGTGACTGTGGAGAGAGTGAACAGCACCAAGTTCCTGGGTGTGCACATCACAGAG